CTGCGTAGCCACCGCGGCCGAGCGGACGCGCGGCCGCGGCGGGAGGCCGTCGGGGTCTTCTGTGGGCAGCGGCAGCACGACGCCGGACTGTTTGCGGACTGCGTTGACCGCCCTGGACACTAAAGGAATGTCCTGCAGCTCCCGCCGCACGCACAGCCACTCGCCCGCGAGCGCCATAGCGACAAAGCCGCCGGCGTTGACGCACCACCTGCGGTTGGCGGGGGGCCGGGCGCCGTTGGAGAGGCCTGCTCGGGACGGGCGGGCACGGGGGCGGTGGGCCGCCAGGGGGCAGGGCACGCCCGGGCCCAGGCGGAGGCCTGCCGCCGCGACGAGCGGCCCGGCGGCCAGGCGGCCGGGCCGGCCGCGTGGGGAGCACAGGGAGTGATGTCGGTGTCGCCGCCGCGCTGCCCACCAGGTCAGGGAGGTGGGGAACCCGCCGTAGCAGGCGCAGAATATCAGGTGCCAGATGTAGCAGGTCGAGGCAAAGTCGAGGCACTTTTTGGCGCGCTCGACCTGCGTGGGCCGAGCGGAGGACGGCGCTCGAGGTCGGGCCGGCGAACCCGCGCGACCACTGCTTTTCACACCGCTGCCCCGGAGTGCGCGCCCGGCCGCTGGTGCCGGCCGCGGCGCAGAGCCTCCCATTTCGCAGGCAGATGGCCCTGCCCGGGCGGAAGGCCAGGCGCACAGTCTCCTCCCCGCCCCCTTTGCACCACTGCGCGGCGCCGCCGTGCGCTCACAATCCACATGAGATGTGTCGCCGCGGCCAGGGAATTGATGGCGTGTGTAAGCACGACCAGGCGCCCGACGCGGTTGTGTAGGTGCATAGTCTGGTGGTTGAAGATGTAAGCGACAGTCAGGTGGCCGAAGCGTGAGCCTGCGGTGGCGTGGCAGTGGTGCGCGCGTGTGTATGTGTGTGTGTGTGTGTGTAGCCTCTCTTCGGGAGCCGTCACAGCCGCTGCCAGGATGCTCGAGCGGCCATTCCGCTGCGGGGACAGCAGCCGCTGGGGGAAGGCTGTGGCTGTTACCGCTGGCGGCATGCTGGCCGCCTCAGAATGCCGGCTGCCAACGGCCGAAGCCTCTGTGTTTGGCTCCCTGCTAAGATGCGCGCGCCAGGCCTACCTATGATGACAAACTGGAGCGCCCCCAGCACGATGTAGAAGAGGCACTGCACGCTGACAATCTGCGCCGTAATCAGGACAGGGTCCCAGACCTGCGTGCAGGCGAGGGCGTCGGCCACTGTAAGCTCCGGAGGCTGCAATGATGCGCCACCGCGCACCACCATGCCTGTGTGCAGGCGACTCACATTCGCGCCGTACAGCATCGTGGCGTTTCGATGTGCATGCGTCACCGCTGCGCCCGCTCAACGGCGGGCTTCCTGTCCTCGACCGCGAGGTCACGATATTGCGAAAATTGCCAGGTCTCTAATACGGGAGGTGAGTGGCTGCAACCCGCTTTCAAAGCTGATCTGGAGCATGCGTTGTCGTGACCCGATCGATGGAGTTTCAAACGAAGATCCTTGGTATATATGTGTTGCCGCTGACTTGATCGGGGTTGCGGGTATAGAGCGCGCAGCGTTCGCTGGCGTAGACCAGGCACAGGGGAGACGACGGCAGCTGCATGCAATCCCGCTAGCAGCACAGTGACCCCCCCGCCGACTTTGTGTTGCGGGTGTGCGTTTGAGGGAGTTGGTGGTGAAGCTGCCGAAGCCGTGCACATCAATGGCTCGAGGTCCACCTGTAGCCTTGCCTTGTCGCACACACATACGCTTGACCCCTCCCTTGTGCAAGCCCACCGCAGCAACTCTCTCTCGCTTCCCCCCTGCCGCATAGAACTTGCAACAACATAGACAATTACCATCAACTTGGAGACAGGAATGGACCCGTGCTGGATCTGAAAAAATGTGCCAGCGCAACGGCAAGGGAGGTTGTGCAGGTGCTGCAGCAGCGTTCCGAACAAGCACGCTCGCTCGACCCGCCAGCCGCCCGGGGCGCTGTGCCTCACCACGCAGCACAAAACATCTGCGCCCAGGCACCGCGCGGCAGGGGCCGCGCATGCATGGCGACTGGACAGCCTTGGGAACGCTTTGGACGCGAACGTGCGGCGGCCGTTCAGCCGCCCAGGTTGGACCGGCGCCGGCTGCCTGCACCACCGCAGCGTCGGACGCCCGCGCCGCCGGGCCGGTCCTCCACCCACGCCCCGCCCGCCCAAGGCTCGAAGCAGGGCGCCTCCGCGCCCCTGAATCCGCCGCCCGGCCGTGCGTGGCCGTCAACACGCGCGCACACACGCGCGCGCCGCTCAGGGCTTCTTCCTACCCAAAGACGGCAGCCCCTTGGCCTTCTCCGGCTGCTGCTTCGCCGCCGCGGCAGCCGCGGCAGCCTCTGCCTCTGCCGCCGCAGCCGCCGCCGCGGCCTCCTGCTCGGCCGCCTTTGCCTTGGCAGCTTCCTCCTCAGGGTCCGGCCCCAGGTCCAGCTCAGCCGCCCGCGTGTGGTTCTTGAGTGCGCTCCGCACGTCCGCCTCGCTGCACGCCGCGCCCCTGAAGCGCTCCACCGCGCCGTCGAGCGTCGGCCGCCACTCGGCGCCCGCGGCGGCGAGGAGCTGGCTCCACTCGTACAGCACGTTGCCCTCCATGATCAGCGCCTGCGTGCCCAACGACACGTCCCCCATGTCCGCCCCTGCGCCGCCGCCGCCCGCCGCCGCCGCCGCGCCCGCCGCCGCGCCCTCGCCCTCGCCGCCGCCGGCCCCTTCCTGCGTCTCCTGCTCCTGCTGCTGCTCCTTCCGCTTCGCGTCCGCCGCGTTGGCCGCCGCGACCGCCTTCTTGTACCACTCGGCCGCCCGCTGCATGTACGGCCGCGCCGCCTCCACGTCTTCCGCCCGCACCTTGGCCAGAGCCTCCCGCAGCGCCCGCGCCGGCGCGTCCAGCGGCCTGCCGCCCTCCTTGCCCGCCGCCGCGCCGCCCTCCTCCGCGGCGCCCTCCGCCTTGTCTGCAGGGGCGGGCGCGGGCGCGGCCGCCGGCTTGACCAGCAGGCGGGCGCGCAGCTTGGCGCGCTCGAACTCGAGCTGGCCCAGGGCGCAGAGGGCGTCGAAAAATTCGGGGTGGAAGTCCAGCGCCTGCTGGTAGCGGCCCTGCGGGGGTGATTCCGGGGTGTGGCGTGTGGGGGAGAGGGTCGTGACGCGGCGGGCGGCCGGGAAAGGAGCGGGCCCAGCGGCAGGCAGCGGGCCGCGCGGGCCGGGACAGGGCAGCATGAGGGACTGAGGTCTCCGCCCAGCTGGCGGGCTGTGACTTGCTGCATCGCACGCCAGGACAGGGCAAATTGGGATCAGCAACACAGCCGTCCCTCTCTCCCTAACACACAGGCATGCGCAAGCGCATATGCATCCAACTCCCCACACATGGACAAACCCACACACGCATGCCCACACACACGCCCATATACACACTCATGCACACACACGCACGCACACACACGCACACACACACACATGCATATGTGCACGAGCAACCACATACACACATGCGATATACGCACATGCACACACACACACACACACATGCGCGCACTCACCTCGGCCTTCTTGAACTCCTCCTCAGTCTTGGCGGCCATCTCATCCGTCAGCACCTCACTCTCCTGGGCAAAGCCGTCCAGCAGCTTGTGCGCCAGGCACAGGCTCACGTTGCCCCTGGGGTGCAGGAAGTGCAGCAACACGCGAAGGGGCGAGAGGGCGGGAGAGGGCAGGGTTGATTGACAATACGCGCGTGGCCTCGCATGCAGCAGCAACGCTGTCGCGTGTGTTGGGGCCGCCTTATGCCTTCTAGTGCTTGTGCTCTGATGGTGCTGCCTCAACTTTGCGTCCTCATGGTCGCTGAGGACTACCCTCCCGTGTAGGCCTCATGACAGCACATGCACCGATGCGCTTCCCCACACAGACACACACACACTCACACGCACACACACGCACACACACACACACGCATACGTGCGCGCACATACACACACACACACACACACGCACACACACACAGTCTTACGCACACGTGAACACGCGTGAATGCGGTGCCTTGCGCTGCCCAGCCCGCGCACCAGTTGAGCAGCCCTGTGCAGGTGACCTCCCTAAAGCGCTCCGCCGCCGCATCAAACAGGGGCACCGCCTCCTCGCTCTTCAGGGCAGCCTCCATGGCGCGCGTCGTCGCGTCCCACCTTTCAAGGCGCGGCAGGGGTAGCAGGGCGGGGGGAAGGACGGAGGGGAGGGCAGGGTGAGCCTGCCATGGCGGCGAGCTGGGGATGGAGGGGCGTCCACAGCGCCGGCGGGGCCTGCGCGGGGACGGGTCGCGGTTGCCAAGGAGGAGGCCCCACGCGGCGGCAAGGGGCGCCTTGCATAAGGGCCTTCAGGCAAAGTTGAGATCCCTCCCCACTCCTTCCCAAAAAAAGAGGCGTGAAAAGGCAGCGCCGCCGCACCCCTCGTTGTGGTAGTCGATGTGCCGGTCCGCGTCGAGCCCGCTGACGTCACGGAAGAGATTCGCGAAGTCGATCAGCCAGTCGTCGATCTCCACCACCGCACCGCTGGGGGTGTGCGCGAGCTGCGGCGGGGGCCGCTCCTGCTGCTCCGCTGTGGCGGGGCGGCGAGGGAGGCCGGGAGGGAGCGGGGGCCGCGTTGGCAGATGCGCGGCAGCTCGAACATTTGCTGGAGTGCATTGAAACTGTCGTCGATGCAAAATCCTCAGTGCACACGCGCAGGTGAATTCCCTCCCGACGGAGCTCGCGTTGCGGTGGTTGGTCCCGTCCCTCCGTTGCGCGCGCGAGCGCTCACCCGCCGCGCGCTCCGCCTCGGCCCGCGCCGCGTCGATGCGCGCCTGGGTGGCCTCCTGGTGGCGCTTCTGCGCCTGAAGGTGCACCTGCTCCGCCTCTGGGGGCTGGGGCACCTCGGCC